AAAGGAGCAGAGAAAATGGTGCTGCAGCTCTCCCCAGCTACAGGGGTGACACAGGCCCCCGGTTTGGGATCTGAGACCCACTGTCTGGACCCCAGGGGCCACCAGTGACCCTCCCAGAGGCTGCCCAGTGCCGCCTGCCTCTCGGGCCTCTCTGCCGTCGGCGTGTCCCCAGTGCCAGGGTCAGAGAGGCCAGCACTGCTCAGTAAGTCAGAGACGACCCAGAAAGACCGAACTGCCCTTGACCAAGAAGCTGAAAGCAGTGGCGGTGACCCATAACGCACGGCGGATGTGCCCTGTGGCCCCGCAGGGCATCAGGGGTGTGTCCCGGCTCTCTGGTGGCCCCTGCTCGGGAGGCTGAGCCGTGCTGGGGGTCAGCGGGTGGGCTGCTTTGCCGTCCCCTCCAGGCCGGCCTCTGGGCACGTCCCCCGGGCGGCATCTCCCCACTAAGGCTGTTGTCAAGAGGTGTCTGCGAGTCCTCTGGGGTGGGGAGGGGGGCAGCTGCCTGTGCCATGTTTCCTGCGTCTTCCGGAGGCGGAGGCTGAACCGCTGGGCGCCCACTCCAGCCTGCGCCCGGGACGCGCTCTGGGGCTCAGGGCGGCCTTCCAGGGCAGGAGGCTCCTGGATGACAGGTGGGGGTGAGGAGCCAGCCGAGCAGGCAAGGGCTGGCTTCCCGACAGGCCACCACAGGGCCACGGAAAAGGCCAAGTGTCCCGGCAGGGCTGTGCAGGAAGCAGGGTTTGCAGGAAGGAGGGGGGCCCAGCCTTCCTGCCCGCCTTGGCCACACCACGTGCAGTGGGCCCTCTCCCGCCGGAACCACTGCGCAGCCGCCTCTCAGAGCCCGCCGTCCCAGTGCCCTGCCGGCGCCAGCCTCGACTCCCTCCCAACATGCCTCAGGGACTAGCGCAGTGTCTTCCGGTGGTGACCCGTACCCTCGCCTACCCTTGAACTCGGAATCCCACACAGGCTGGACCAGGAGGCGGATGAGAGTGAAAAGCCTGCCCCGTCCCCTGTCCTGGGGACTGAGTCCTTTAACGTCCTTTAACTGGGCCCGTCCCCAGGCCTGCTGCTCCTCCACCAGGGGCGGTAGAGCCAACTCCCACAGGGCCACCTCACTGGGGTGTCAGGCGGGACTGGACCCAACTGACACCAGGAGTGACCAGCTCACACTCAGGCTGCCCACCCTCCACCCTCGCCATGTGAAGTCCCAGGGTATACAGTAGGTGCTCAACGAGTTTGAGCTGCTGTTAATAAACCACCAGCAAATACCGACTGAGCTGAGAGCCAGACTCAGTGCACTGCCGCCTGTGTGGGCCTTGGTGGGGCGACCTCTGAGCTCTGAGCCCAGCCCCGCCCTGCAAGGCACTGGGAGGAAGGGCTCTGCCCCCACTGGCTGGGCGACCCGGACCAGCCCCCCCCCCCGTCTCTGCACCCCCATCTTTGGGGACACATCCTGGAGGCCCTGGGGGCTGCAGGGCATACGCATCATGCGCTCTGAACCGCCCCTCTGTGAAGTGGGGTCAGGAAGGATCTGAGACCCACGCGATGATGAGAAGACACTCTTCGGCCGTCGCCGTGGTGCTCGTGTGCTCAGACACCTGAGTCCGCACGTGCATGGACCAGGTGAAGCCCCCGCCCTGAGCCCGAAGGAGCCTGGGTGCTCACTGTGCCTCTAGCTGTCAAGTTCCTTTGGGGCAGTGGCAACCCCCTCCGTGCCTGAAATATTTACAAACACACTGTGGTCCCAAGTGGGCCGGCTTAACTTGTCTGTGCTTCACTTGCTTCTCACGGGAGCCCGAGGGT